ACGGTTTAGAGAAGTCCACGAGCGCTTTGACTTTCACAAAGAGCCTGTTCATCTCCTGATTTTAGAACACCTCTGATTCCAGTACCCTCCCGATGGTACCATTCGCTACCTTCTGGCCAAATTGCTTTGTGCAACATTCCTCTTTAATATCCTAAAGTTGGATACGAAAGGGAACTATAGCAAGTTCTTCGAAGGTGAATTTGTTCACCGTGGAAGTCCAGGCACGTAGGTGCAGTATTTTATCTTGAACCACCCTGGGTGTGCGCTCCAGAACTCATATTCGAGACTCCTCACTAGGCAGGACGAACTCGAACAACCCATGCTTCCTGATATGAACTTTGATTCTTCCTTTCCCCTGCCAAGGCGTATTCAAGGCATCGCGAAGCTCAGTAGCCGTGAACGGGGCATCAGTAAAGAGGCTCCCAAGCAACATGCGATTTTACCAAAATTTTGTGGAGTTGACTTCCTCCAATGAAAACTCTACTATTTGATCTTCCGTCACGTGAGCCATGGTAGTGATCTGCGATGGAATAAAAATAAGAGGGATATGAGACGAGTGTATAACGGGATTGGACGACCCAAAGCATTCGAAAATGCTGTCTCCCTCACTCTGTCACAGCAGCTCATTCTTGGTTGGCGAACCGACTGCAGCCCATGCGGTACCCTGGTCGTCGGGCCAAAAGAAGAAAGCAAGGAGAATGGCAAAATACCTGACTCGAGTTGCCTGCTAGCAAGGGTTGTGCTTTGTTCAACCGACGCCCACCCCTTGTTACGGTTTGATATCGTGGAAGAGGCGTAGCACAATCCGGGAAATATATAGGGCAGGCGGAGCACATCCTTACCCTTACGCGGCTAGTTCTAAGCACGCAGAGTTAGAGTCCAAGAAGGACTTCCCATGATCAATAAAGATCCGATCCGAATGAAAGTATTTTTCTTTTTTATTTTTATCAAAATTATTAGCCATTAAGATACGTTTCGGTTGTATCAACGATCCCACCCGATTTTCTAGTGCCCCGATCAGCAAGGGGTATGCCGGTAGGAACCTCCTCGAAGACCAGCGATATTATCGGCTTGGGGTCCTCGTCGGCATCCTAACTAGAACCTGGCCTAAGATCTTGTCTCCGGTTAGCATCATCTCTGGTGACCGTTTCCGGCGTATCTACATCGACTGGCAGCACCTGAGAGTAGCTCCAATCTCGGGTCGTATACGACTGCGAAGGAGTGGATCTGTTACTTGATGATTGACATGAATCATCCCCACAACATCCTTCCACTTCCATCGACGACGGCAGGGCAAACCGCCATGTCCCCTTCCACGTTTGTTTTCATTTTTTACCAGTCCTTATGTCATTCGAGACTTTTGAATCTGCGATGAATACCCACCGCTTTCGTTTCCTATTCCACAGGCCGAGACCTTGATCGGCATGCTTAACATGGACAGGCGTGTCGCCTACCACTCACCACTTGGAATTCGATGGTGGACGGGACCTCACCATCGCCGCCTGGTTGGAGAGGCAGACTGCGAGGATCGCTCAGAACGCTGCCAGGACTCCGTTTCCAATCATGGAGCACCCGGCAAGGAGAGAGGAGAGAGCTCCTTTCCACATTTTTTTTTATGGTTTCAGTTATAATCACACCGTGTTTTAAAAAAAAGGGATTTTTTTGTGATGAGTTTTTATTCTGAAAAGAGGAGAAGTATTAATTAAAATATTATTATATACTTAATCCGCAAGACTTAATAGGTTTAGTAATTAATGTGGATATTTATATTTTTTTTGCTTTGTATTATACGTTAACAATTGGGTTGTGGTTTAACGGAATTCCACTTTGTAAATTGCAAGGATTGTCAAATTCATAAGGGTTATAATCCTACCACTTAGGGACGACCGCTTAGTTACTCGAGAGGAAGATAAGAGACCTAAGCTAGCTATAAGTATAACCTAAGTAGACAAGTTTACACTTCTAGTAGTCAAATGAAAGGCATAGTTAATTAAGATCTCCATTAGCTAGAAATTAGCATATATACCGAAGTTTGGAGCGATGGAAGGCACTTTTAGTCTGCCGGTGTTCCCCACGAACAGTATATATGGTCCAACCAATATTGGACACAGAGAAAGCAGATTTTTTATGGCACAGTTCTCAAATTTGGTTGGTCAAAGTTTGTAGTTTGTACAAGCGTTAATCAGGGGAAAAAGAGATTGCATGATTTCCGGAATATCTTTACTCGATCAAAACCCGTATGAATGAAATTACTTTCAAACAATTCATTACCTACAAAAGTTACTCTAAATTTCTTTTCATTTTTTATGTGTAAAAGGGTTTTTTTCCTAGTCTGATCTCAGCGAGGTTGTGTTCGTTTCCACTGTCTGATTTATTTCTAGTGCTGGGGCTTGGGGCACAATGCATATGCTTTTGGGTTCTTTTTTTTTTAACTTCTTAGGGTAGTGCCACTCACTCACAGTCACTGGGTCACCACTCACGACGGCCTTTACTTTCCAATCCTCCTCGTTCGAGGCAGCATGTTTGTACCCTCGAAAGGAAAAGAGAGAAAGGGGCAAAACCTCATTCGGGTACTCTAGATAATTAGGGGCTGAGGGTTTGCATGCTTATCCGGATCTAGAGATCGAAATAGCAGCATCAATCGTTGGGTTCAAAGCTAGCTGCTAGTAGGGATGTCAATTTCGACTTGACCCGTTTTACCTGACTTGTTTGATCTGTTTTGGGGTGGGTCCGACCCGCCCTCGTAGGCGAGGTGGGGCGGGCATGGGTAGTCTCATCGACCCGACCTGCCCTAACCCGTCCCATTCTCGACCCATTTTTGTCTAAATTACATGTAATCTTAGTCAAATTACTTAGAATTTTCCTTTTATTGCATAATATTTTAGCTATAATAAAGTTGTAAATTAGTAAAAACCTCAATTTCTCCAATAATTTAACTACAATTGTCATAATATTGTTTGTTTTCTTAGTCTTATAATAAAAATAACGAATATTTCTAATGTTTTCATATAAATTGCATACCCATTGGGTCGACCTGCCCCCGACCCGCGACCCATGATCAATTACCCCTACCACGGGGCGGGTCTGGGTACCAAGAAACCCGCCCCGGACCTGCCCCATTGCCATTCCTAGCTGCTAGGTAGCAACGATAGGTTTCAAGCAATAATTGAGAAACCACACCGGAGGTCCTACTCGATTAGTCTATAGTAGGATATTTGTGGTATGATCGTGGTTACTTATACATGTGATTTAAAAAAATAAAATAAAACAATATATTTTTGTCAAAATATCATATCAACAAAAATATTTTGATACGGAGGTCATACTCGATTAGTCTATGGTAGGACATTTGTGGTATGAACGTGGTTCTATATGTGAATTTTTTTAATAAAATAAAACAATATATTTTTGTCAAAATAACGTACCGACAAAAATATGTTGATGTTCTGGAAAATATAGAATTATACATGATAACAATGAATCAAATACTAACTAACTAAACATGAGAAACCATGCATTTAAAAGGTAAGCATAGTAAAATTCACAACTTCACCAATTAAACTTAAAATTAAGTCTAACTAATTGCCCATATGAAAAGTGTAAACGTTATATTTTGTCACATATGTCAGATACGGTCAGTGTTTGCAGGAGAGAGCTGGGTGCCTGCCATAGAGAGGAAAGAAACAGATGGAGTAAGTGTCAATTAGGGTTGTGTTGGAAGGATGGCTATGCTCGATTTTCAAAAAAAAATTCCTCGCTAGCTTCCTTTCAAAAATGATGTTGTTTTGATGTTGAAGATTCCCCCCACCCCCGGGTTGATCGGTATGATTAAAACTTGTCCGATTATCGAGTCTAACCTTAGTGCTTTAGGTTATGAGTAATTGGTTGCATGTTCATTGATCCAAATGGTTATCTAGAAGTGTAATTGAGTGCATGTCCATTAGCTTGATTACTAGTTTAAGCGATTCCTCGAAATTTAGAAGACAAGGGAATTGCTCTATGGTTTGCATAGATCACCTTTCATTCCACGAACTTGAAGGATTCGAGCGTCCTCGTCTCCGGTGTCCTAAGTACTAGTTAGTTGTTGGCTTCTTTCTTAGTAGTTCAATTTAATTCATGTTAAGAAACAAACCAAAATGATCATGTTCGACCGAATGATCCACGATCATGCATGTTAGGCATTTGGGACATGATTTGGCGCTAATAGATGAGCTGGCATATACTACTACCTATATCAAGTTATTTCTATAAATTAAACAAACCAAAATTGATCCATCAGAGTACGTACACGACGGGGGAACATCGATCACATGCATGCATGTAATGCGGTTACAACTTCTTTGTATTCACATGCACAATTATTAATTCTATCGTCTGCGAGGAAGCTTTGAATTCGTATACAACGTGAGATCTGATTCAAAGATACTGCGTTTAATGTTACGAAGTTACCGCGTGGTTGGTTGTACATGTAGAAGGTGAAGTGTTGGTAGTGTATATTTTAGTCGTATGTTGTAGATTAGGGGTGTCAGTCGGTCGGTTTCGGTTTAACCGAAAACCGAAATCCCAGTTATCGGTTAAACCGAGCCCCCCTGCATACCTGCCGACTACTGACCGTGAGAGTGGTCACGGTTAGCCGGCCAACCGACCGGTCGGTTTCGGTTTTAGGCTGGTTAACCGGCCAACCGGAAAATACCCTTTATAAAAAAAAAAAGCAACAAAATTCTGAACCACTCACTCCTCACCCTCTCACTTCTCGATTCTTCTTCTTCCTATCCACTTTCCAGAGCAACCGCCGACCGCCCTCTCACCATTCTTCTTCTTCCTTTCACCATCTCGATTCTTCTTCTTCTTTTCTTTCGCCCCATCACCAAACCAACTGAAACAAGGAAGGAGAGAGAAAGAAAGAAAGAAAAGGAAGTTAACGATCTAATTCTTCTTCCTTGGGGGATCCTCTGAACGGCAGAATTGTCGTCACGCAATCCCCGTCGATGGATTTAGACATGCAATCCATGGCGGCGGCGATCGGGGTCTCCGTCCCCGTTCTCCGCTTCCTGCTCTGCTTCGCGGCGACTATTCCGGTGAGTTTCTTCCACCGGGTTGTCCCCGGTTCGCTGCCCAAACACATGTACGCCGCACTCTCAGGGGCTATTCTGTTCTGCGACGGTGGGAGAAAGGTGTTGTCGGTCGCTCGGTGTGGAGGGGTAGCGCGATTGGAGGCGGGCGGCAACGGCGATTGGAGGCGGGCGGCGAGGCGGAGTTGCGGCGACGGCGATTGGAGTTGGGAGCAGGTGGATTGGAGGGAGGCGGCTGGAGATTTGGGAGATGGGACGAAGTTGCTAGGGTTGGGGTTTGGGGATGGGGCCTTTTATGTAAGGCAAAAACGGCGTCGTTTAGGCCTGCCGGTTAGCCGGTTTAACCGGCGTCGGTTTTTCGGCTAACCGCCTAACCACGGAGAGCCTCCGACAACCGACCGTGCCCAATTTTTTCGGTTTCCGGTTAGCCGCTAACCGGCGGTTAACGGTTAGACCGGCCGGTTAGCTGCTAACCGGAAACCGAAATGACAGCCCTATTGTAGATAGCAGTTTATGTACATTTGTGAGGGGAGTTTGGTTTTTCTCCCTCGCCTTGAGCTTAATAAATTTTTTGATTGTCCATATAAACATAAATCAATTAGGAAACTGATGAATGATGATTGATCGATGGTGATGGTTCTATGCTAAATTGACATCCGTAACCTTCATAAAGTACTTGTAATCAGGAGTGGTCATCAGTCGATTCAGTTCATAACTGATCGAATTGACTCAGGAACGGACGAAAACTAAGAGAAAATGAGGAACATAACCAGACTAACATACCGTTGGTATAAATTAATTCCATAAGTTTTGAGGAATTCATTTTGAAATGAAACTTTTTTGTGTTTGGTATTTAAAAGAATTCATTTTCAATTCTAAAATTTGAATTCTACAGAATTGGTACTAGTTATAGCAATTTTGAGGAATTGTAATGAAATTTCAAAATGAATCCACAACTATTTACTAATTATAATAGAAATACATAATGAGTCTCTTTGTTAACTAAATTACTTATATATATGACATATCAACCACAAGAATTCACTTGATAATGAATTCTACTTGACAATTCATTTTATTTCTAAAGATTTGAATATGACATACCAAACACAAAATTTCATTTGACAATGAATTTTACATAGTAATTTATTTTACAATGAAATGAATTCTTGATTCATTTGGTACCAACAGTTTGTTAAAGTATAAAGTATGTTTGATTTATTTAATTGGGTCGATTCTTTAATTTCAGCTTCACCCGTGAGAATCAATTGTATCGTGGCGATGAATAATTCACCTTAACATGGGAACATCATTATCAGTACATATTGACGTTTGATTGTCCTCTTCAACCCATTAAATCATATCCATTTATATTTATATGAATAGGGTTTGTGCTGATTGATAATAGGACTTTACATTTGAGATTTATCAGGATGAGATAGCTTGCCTACTCATAAAGGTTGGAAAAATAACATCCTTATTATTTTTAGTCCTTTAAGGTATTAAATTTGTGTTGCATTTAATAATCCGTGGAAATTAAAAATCTATATTAATTATTTTTCTTTTTTCAGTGCAATGATAGTTGTATCAGTGCGATAATAGTTGTATCAGTGCAATGATAGTTATATCAGTGCAATGGTGGTTGTATAAGTGCAATGGTATCAGTGTACAAGTACGTTATCAGTGTAATGGTAGCTGTATCAGTGAAATGATATTTTTTTTAATGCAGCGATACTTTTTTTTAGGTGGTCGGAGGGAGTCTGTCGGAGAATATGTGGTCGGAAGGAGTCTGTCGGTGGGAGTTTGACTGGAAAGAGTCTACTTGGAGAAGGCAACAAAGCTGTTGGGAAAGAAAAGAATATGAAATAGAGAGAAATGTAATTAATGTAGGTTTAATTTTGAAAAAAATGTAAAATATGAGTTTTTTATTCTTACAAATTATTTAATGCAACACAAATTTAATACTTTAAATAGCTATAATTAATAGGAATGTCATTTGGGTTGATCATACTATGGAATGGGTTAGCATGTTTACTTAATTTTCAGTAATCACGGGTTCCTCCTGATATCATCCATGCCGTCACAATATAGATTTTCATTCAATAATCAATGCCAATCGTAGTTTGCCACAGTAAATTAATGACGGCACTTTGCAATTTCTCATTACTCTGTGTTTGATTAATTAGCTCAATAAGTGTAATTAAGTGCTGTCCAACTTTTCCCCACGATTAAGCAATCCAAACCCTAGCTAGCTAGTGACAATTAAAGGTGATGCTCATTGTAAAACCCCAAACTCCATACAGCTGTATGCATGATTAATGATGCTACTTATTAAAAACGATATTGATCGATTTCCCTTTCACTTTGGAAAGGAAATCTGTTTTATTAATTCTTTTTGGATATGATATGATTACTGATAGTGATTAGGGAAGTAAATATTGATGATTTCACTTGATTATGTTTTTTTAACAATGATTTCACTTGATTATATGCACTACTTAATTAACCCTCAGGGGAAATATAATTTATGTTGATTGTTATTGTGTCTTATGTATAGTGATGAAAATGGATCATGGAGGTTAAAAATATTTAGGTTTTGCTCATACTCATACTCACACAACAGTCCAGTAGAATGTTAAAACCATTATTTATATTTGTCGAGTTTCGGATATTCACGATTACCTATGAATAATAATTTATATTTATGAGTCGAACTAACATGTTAACAATTACACATACACTGACATATATTATATAACTGAAAACTACAACTATATATTACTATAATTAAAAAATTAGTTAAAAACAACATTATTTCTTGAAAATATTATATATAATACAATAGATATAAAATATGTTAAGAAAAATAATAATCATTTTAAGATAAAATACATATGCTTGTGTATATCGGGTGAGTTCGAGTTTAGTAGTGAGAAAATCATGTCTATCTATCACTCACAATATTTAGATATCATCTTATCCGTTAAAAAATTTTCAGATTCGAGTTTTATCCTACCCAAGAACAATGAACACTTCTACTGTGCTATATAGCATTGGTGCTTTAATGTACAACTCAAAGTTGTACCATAACATTAAATGTATAAGTTTAGGTTGTACCATAAAGCAATTTGTAGTTTGTACCATTATGTTATGGTACAACTTTACAACTTGAAGTTGTACCATCACATAAAGGTATAAGTTCAAGTTGTACCATAAAATAATTTGTACAAAAAATATAGGTACAATATGAAGTTGTACCATAACATAAATGTACCATAAAGCAATTTGTATCATTATGTTATGGTACAACTTTACAACTTGAAGTTGTACCATCACATAAAGGTATAAGTTCAAGTTGTACCATAAAAGAATTTGTACAAAAAATATATGTACAATATGAAGTTGTAGTGGGACTGGTTACGGTGCTAATTGTACAAGAGTTAGCATCGTCCTAACCAAGGGTTAGTAGTGATTTAGCTTAGATGTTGTATTGATTTTATAATAATCCGTAGTGATTTCGTTGTTTTTAGTAGCGTCCTAACCAAGGGTTAGCACCTAATCCCATCCCGAAGTGGTACCATAACATAAATGTACAATTTCAAATTGTACCATAAAGACAAAAACCTATAGCACCAATACTATATAGCATTGTAAAATTTCTCAAGAAGAAATTCAAACGGATATCTAACTATATGATTATCTTTGTCATCCCTCGTGCATATAAAATTAAGGGTCCATATTAATTAGTTTTTTCAGTAGAGAAATTATTAATGGTTAATTGATCTGAATAGACGTAGATAGAGTAGATCCAAGTGGCATTGATCTGACTTTGTTAATCAGTTGCGTTGGGAGGTGGCAGACAATGAAGTAGGAGTACGATCTGAAATTAATGGAGAGAAACATGGTTCATCAATCAAAACAAATCCATCACTCCGCATTTACGTTCAGTTGACTATTATTAGTTGCTATCCAATCCCTATGCATAAATTTATATTGTAATTCTTGTTAATTAGGCAATTCAATCCAATCTTACTCATGTGGAAGAACCATGGTGGGGTGGCAACTTCTATCATAATATCATAATAATTCGCTTTTGTGTTCATTTTAATGACTATAATTTAAATGGAAATTTTAAAGAATCAAAATTAATGATGATCTGATAGAGAAAAGAAAAACAAAGGTTAATCGGATTTTATGGTAATAATTACAATAAAAAAATGGGTCGGGTTGGGGCGGATAGTGCATATTCGTTACCATACCAAAGTAGTTCGGGTTTTACCCATACTCACATAAGAATCAGGTAAAAAATCAAAATCATGCCCATACCCGTTTGGGTTTCGGGTATCCACGGTTATCCATGGATAATAGTTTCTCTTTATAACTTCAATAAACATGTTAACATTCACACTTATACTCACATTATGTAAGTAGAAAATGACGATAATAATTCACTAGAATGAAGAAAATTAATTTCAAACAACAAAATTTATATTTGTATGCTATATATAAAATATGTTGAGAAAAATAATTATTATTTCTAGATAAAATATATATGAATTTGCATCATCGGACGGGTTTGGATTGGATAGTGAGAAAACCATTCTCATCCATTACCTGCAATATTCGGGTTAGGGTTTTATCCATATCCACTAAAAATTGTTCAGGTTTGAGTTTTATACTAACCTATTAGATTGAATTCTGGCGGATATCCACAAACTCTTTGCCATTTCTAATAAAATTCATTATTATCATAATAGTAACTAGCTTTTACCCGATCCGTTGGCCGGTAACTTTTTTATTTATTTTATATCCTATTAAATTGTATTTTTGTTGCCTCGCTCTCAATTCTCAATTACTTAAAATTGTACGATGGCAAGTCGAGTAGTTTGGCTTGGGGAGTATATGGACATTGGGTCGTGTTTGGGCCGGTACGCTTCGGGCCCGTTTATTTCGTGCCTTGCTTGGCACGGTCCGTTAGTTTTCGTGTCGTGCCGTGTCAGCCCATTTGTTGATTTTGCTAGGCCCGGGCATGGTTTTCATCGTGCCGTGCTTATTCGTGCTCGTGTCATGCTTATATTCGTGTTTAATGAAAATAAAGAAAATAAAAGAGAAAATAAAAAAGAAGTAATAAATTGGACGGAGAATGAAAGTATTAAATTATTTATGAATTAACTACGCAGGTCTAAGATGAACAATTTATTAATTTTGCCACTCTTTGTTAGCTAATGAAAGTTAGGGTCCAATACTAAAAATATGATATTTAATTCACCAACAACTTCCACATATCACAACAGTAAACCCGCAAAGAAAACAAAACCATGTTCTCTCCCAATAAATCAATGGTCTTGCCTACCTGTTAGAGAGGGGCAATGGGTTGATCAGCCGCTAAACCCACCCGAACACACCGATTATGACCCGCCCATTACATGTTTGGGTTGATGTGGTGGATGGGTGTGAGTCAACTTTTTTGTCACTCACTAAACTTGGGTGGGTGGCGGGTGGGTCATTACCCGCAAAATCACATGATATGTAAAGTCATTAATGCACATTCTATAATAATATACTATATTTTCTTATCTCAAAACTTTAATCATGACTGATTCAATTAAAATACAATTAAATTTATAATTTTTACTTGATGTATACTATAAATTTGATTATTTTAAAATATGAAAGCTATCAATAAAATAATTTTTGTTCGCAAATGAGATAATAGGTGTTATATATGCAATAAACTATGTTTAATATTTCTAAATTTTCTTAATATGTAGTATTGATATTAAATTATTTTTATGCAAATTTTTATGACTCATCATTATCTAATATTTAAAAATCATTTGACCCACCAAAATCGTCAAATTCACCCATCATTCGCTGTCACCCACCCACAACAAAAACAATGGGTGGGTGGATTTTAAGTAAAAAATTTAGTTTTTACCACACCCATTGATCGATTGATTTGAGTTCATTTCTTATTATGTTAACTAACTATCTATATTTTAAATAATTTGGGACTTCTCGGAAACTTAAACATAATTTAAAAGTAATATTTGTCTGAACTGATTCCTCTGCCGATCAACAGCTTTCCTTGCTTCTCAGCTCGCTATAGCCACCAGTGGGAGAGGAAGAAGATGAACATGTTCCTTCTGTTCATCATGCTGCAAGGTGGTGTGAAAAATAAAAGAACTCCAAATATTTGAGTTGTTTGGGTCCCTTCGCCAAAAAATTGACAATTGCTGCATATTCCGCCCTCTCTTCAACCCCTCCATATATTATATCTACTCTTCTTCCTGATTACCCAATATATAACTTGACTTTTTCACAAAATCTAACCCCGGCTACTTAAATTGAAACCAAATAAAGATAACAACAGAAATTGAAGGGAGCAAATTTTGGCATGTAGTTACCGTTGCGGGATAAAAAGGAAGGCAGGAGCAAAGATAGCATACTTCTTGGTGCGCCGGATGAGTGTTAGGACCTACTAACACATACCAGAAGCATTCCGGCTTTCCAAATTGCTCGTCCAAAAAAACACTCTCCATCCAGAAAATATTAAATGGCGATGACAATTTTCTACTTCTTCTATAAATTATTATGTAGATTATTAACTAATTCCCACAACCATTAAGAAAATCCTAGTGCACAGCTTTTTGAATGGCACAATAAACATTTAAAGTATAAAAATATTACATCGGGTGAAAGGAAGTTGGCCAAAGATAAAATTCATAACATAAGCGTTCTACGTACACCAATCTCAAACATCTGTTACTTCTCATTTGTTCTTGTTTGTGACCCATATAAAATATTTGTATAAATACATTTTTTTGCAATACGTGTGTATTAATCAGTGTAGTACTATCCTATTTTAACAAAATTCACAATAACAATATGATTATAACTAATTTCTTGTGATAAATATCCTTCCAATTTTATCTCTGGATGCAGGAATTTTAAAATGGGACTTCCTCTTTTCCATTCCACATTAAAAGTAAGCTAGGTAAGTGCACCAGCTTGTTGGGTGGATTACTAAGAATTTGAACACAATGCACCTATAGTTTGAATGCTATGTTTCTATAATCAATTGAAATGATCGTATAAACTCATTCTTTGCAAGTAGGATAAAGAATACAGGTCAATGTTTGGCATGATCTTGGGTTTCATGTTTATGGAGACACTCATTCGTATTTTGCTATCTGTTTCAATTGTCCACCATTGGTTAAGCACCTTATAAATTTGCATACTCAAATTGATATAATTAGTTATATTCTTTACAATGGAAGATAAAAATATGCCAGATGTTGAAAGATGATTCTACTGATATTCTTTGACTAAACTGCAGCTTAAGCTCTTTTGTTCAGCTTCAATTCATTTCTGTATAACCATTTACTTCTTCCAATCGCGATCTCCCCACTCCCAAGGACTTCCGTCAGCGAGTGGGGTCGTGGACTTGCTTATAATTAGGGATTTCGATTTGTTTGAAATTGGGAATAGGAGGAGATTTCTGATGCGAGTTATTGTGCTTCTCGCCGGAGGGGACAACCTCAATCAAATCTGTAAAACGGTTAAAGGGTAAGAAACCTCCTCTTCCATTCCTTCCGCAGATCGATTATGTAAAAGGGTAAGCAGCCTCCTTCCTTCTCATCCCTTTCACCTTTCCCTCTCTCTCTCTGTAATATGCCTGCAAGGCTGCAATTGCTCTTCCCTTTCCGTGACTTTCTTCTCTCTCTTAATAACCAGTAGAAAAGGTGGGCTTATTTCACCCAAACAAAAAAATAAATGAATATTATATGACAACGTGAGAAACGGAGAAAAGGTGGGTAGTGGACAGTTTGTTAGTTCTGCAATCAGGCGTGGACTCTTATTTATTTCCCGCTTAACACTCTGCCACATCAGCTTCCTAAAATCACTCTATGGGCAGGAAAATTTGAATGAGGTGCAATTTTATTTTTCAGCTATAAATTATACTGTAGAATTGTTATTACAATCGAAGATGAAAAAGTAAATGAAGTCGACAAGAAAGAATATATTACTTCCTTAAAAAAGAAAGCACAGAAAGAAACCCAACACTGGATAATTTCGATTTCTTAACACAAAATAAAAGAAAAATCCCCACAATTCGTCCTCTTCCACCTCCATTCATTAACCTCCAATTCGCCAAGAACAAGAAGAGAAGAGACTAGAGAGAGAATCAAAGTCCAAAGAGGAAAGTAAAAAAAAAAAAAAAAAATACTAAAAGCGACTGAAACATATTACAGCCGAAGCAAGCAAGCCAAGACAGTGGCTACTGCCGCCTGTGTGTGGTTGCGAGCAAAGCTAGAAATGCTCTCTTCCTACAATTTCATTCATTACCAAGGAGTGGTATAAATTCTTGTCAGAAAGGTTGGAACTTTGGCTTTCTTTAGCCAGAAATTTGACTTCCCCTTTTCTGCCCTTGTCCTAACTTGAATGTTTTAGCTTCCTTCCAACCTTTGTAATCCATCTTTATACTGAAAGCTTGCGGCTTTTGCTAAATTCGGAGCTTCCTTCTGCCTCTCCCCTGTTTTCCCTTCCACTCTGCAGTTCAATGTTGGAAATTTGATACATGGGTGTTAAGCGAACTAGCAAAGAACTGGTTTTGCTCACATGGTGATGTTTCATGAACTAAAATGGAGCTCCACAGATCTACCACCATGGGAACCCACTGCCTGAAGAAACTCCTGCTACTACCCTTCTTCTTCATCTTCTCCTCCATTGTTCCAGTCATTTTCGCTGCTACAGACCCTGGCGACTTAGCTGTCCTCAAGGAATTCAGAGACGGGTTGGAGAATCCGGAACTTCTGCAATGGCCCAAACCCGGCGGCGGGGAAGAAGACCCGTGTGGCCAGACATGGAAACACGTCATCTGTTCTGCTTCAAGGGTTACCCAGATTCAAGTTCAGAACATGGGCTTGAAGGGTACTCTGCCTCAGGACTTCAACAAGCTCACCATGCTGGACAATTTGGGGATGCAGAGGAACCAATTCACTGGTCCATTGCCTACCTTCAAGGGCTTGTCCAAGCTTAGGTACGCCTTTCTCGATTACAACGGCTTCGATTCGATTCCCTCCGATTTCTTCGATGGCCTCGACAGCCTGGAAGTCCTTGCATTGGATGGGAACAAGCTCAATGCGACCACTGGTTGGTCAATCCCTAAAGGGTTGCTGAATTCTGCACAGTTGATCAATTTTACATGTACCGGCTGTAATTTGGCTGGTCCGTTGCCTGATTTCATGGGGAACTTTGTGTCTCTACAAAACTTGTTGCTTTCGGACAACAATATAACCGGTGAGCTTCCAGCCAGCTTCAAGGACAACACTGCTTTGCAAATGCTGTGGTTGAATGATCAGAACGGTGGTGGATTGACCGGTCCTATCGATGTGGTTGCGACGATGGAATCTGCTACCACTATATGGCTTCATGGGAACCAGTTCACTGGTCCAATCCCTGATAGCATTGGTAATTTGACTAGCTTGAAGGATCTAAATCTCAATGGTAATCGACTCGTCGGGTTAGTTCCTTCTAGCTTAGCTGATCTGCCACTGCAGAATCTGAATTTGAACAATAACCTATTGATGGGGCCTGTACCGAGGTTTAAAGCGGCTAAAGCTTCCTTTAGTTCGAATTCATTTTGTCAGTCTGTTGCTGGAGTTCCATGTGCTGATGAAGTCATGATGCTCATAGATTTCCTTGCTGGTTTGAATTACCCTTCGAGGCTGGTCTCTTCGTGGACTGGTAATGATCCATGTTCTTCGTGGCTCGGGATTCGTTGTAATCCCAGTGGCAAGGTCGATTCCATTGTTCTGCCCAATTACAATCTCAGTGGAACTTTAAGCCCTTCAGTTGGTAAGCTTGCTTCTCTTACTCAAATCAAACTTGAAAGCAACGTTATAACAGGTCCAGTGCCGGAAAACTGGACTAGCCTGGCATCTCTGAAGACCTTGGATCTCAGTGGCAACAACATCTCACCTCCATTGCCAAAGTTTTCCACCACTGTCCAACTTCTGACCACTGGGAATCCCCTGTTGGCTGATGGAGGAAAGTCTGCTCCAGACAAAAATCCATCATCTTCTTCAGGTTCTGGATCAAATGGTGGTTCCTCTTCTCAACAGAATGGCCCTAAGAGGTCCATTCTAGTTGCAGTCCTAGCTCCTGTTGCAAGTGTAGCTTTCATGGCCATTCTAGCTATACCGCTGTCAATTTATTGTTACCGGAAGAGGAAAGGCACGTTCCAAGCTCCAAATTCCCTCGTCATTCATCCAAGAGATCCATCCGACTTGGACAACAACACAGTTAAGATCGTGGTTGCTAACAATAACAATACCGGTGCAAGCTCTTCCACAAGAACAGCAAGCGGTGGTTCAATGCACAGCAGCAGGTTTGGGGATTCTCACGTCATCGAGGCCGGGAACCTGGTGATATCGGTTCAAGTCCTTCGCAACGTGACAAAGAACTTTGCACCTGAGAACGAGCTAGGCCGCGGAGGGTTTGGAGTAGTGTATAAAGGAGAGCTCGACGATGGTACCAACATAGCAGTGAAGAGAATGGAGGCTAGCGTGATAAGTAGTAAAGCATTGGATGAGTTTCAGTCGGAGATTGCAGTTCTTTCCAAGGTCAGGCACCGGCATTTGGTGTCGTTGTTGGGTTACTCAATTGAAGGTAATGAGAGGATTCTTGTGTATGAGTATATGCCACAGGGAGCTCTCAGCAGACATCTTTTTCACTGGAAGAGCTTTCAGTTGGAGCCTCTTTCCTGGAAGAGGAGGCTAAATATTGCTTTGGATGTTGCTAGAGGGATGGAGTATCTTCATACTCTTGCTCATCAGAGCTTCATACATAGGGACCTTAAGTCTTCAAACATCTTGCTCGGTGATGATTTTAAGGCGAAAATTTCAGACTTTGGACTTGTGAAACTTGCTCCGGATGGTGAGAAATCTGTGGCGACCAGGCTTGCTGGGACTTTCGGATACTTGGCACCTGAATATGCTGGTAAGTTAATTACAAGTACCTAGTTCACTGTTCTTGAGTTCAACATTTACCTTACTTGGGACTCACTAGGAATGCTAGTTTTGAGAAGTGATGTACTCCTGGTCAAAATTGGCTTTATATTATATTAACTGCTTGCTGTCGTACCATATCAAATCGCTGCAGTGACCGGGAAAATCACGACGAAGGTGGACGTGTTCAGCTTCGGTGTCGTCCTGATGGAGATGCTGACCGGATTAGTGGCGCTGGACGAAGACCGATCAGAGGAGAAGCAGTACCTGGCAGCATGGTTCTGGCACGTGAAATCGGACAAGCAGAAGCTGAGGAACGCAATCGACCCAGCACTCCAGCCAAACGACGATGAGACATTCGAGAGCATCTCAACGATTGCTGAGCTCGCAGGCCACTGCACGGCCAGGGAGCCCAGCCAGAGGCCCGACATGGGGCACGCGGTGAACGTGCTTGCCCCACTGGTCGAGAAATGGAAGCCACTGGACGACGAGCTTGAGGATTACTGTGGGATCGACTACAGCCTGCCGCTTAACCAGATGGTGAAAGGTTGGCAAGAGGCTGAAGGCAAGGACGTGAGCTATGTGGACCTGGAAGATAGCAAGGGGAGCATTCCTGCCAGGCCTAATGGGTTTGCGGATTCTTTCACTTCTGCTGATGGTCGATGAATGACACTAGCTAGAGCTTGGTAACTCTTGCATTTGGCTACATCAGTGGTTTCGTTTTTGGCGTGTGGCAGTTTTTAGTCTGTAGATAGTGTGTGTTGTTTAACTATTGGTTTTTGTCCCACTTTACGTCTGATCTCTGATGTAGCGTTTTGGAATTTGTCTGATGAAAAGTTGGTTATGATGTTTGGCAATGTAGATAGAGAGCAAGGAACTAAAATGATGTCTTGTTGTTCCATCACCATTATTGCCGTTGTCTGCGAGCTTCTTATCTGAGTTTGATTTTGTCCACCTTGTAAATTTAAGAATTAGGTAAGGCAGTCCCACCAAACAGAACTTAGAGATGATGAATTGATGATAATGGCCAAGGCAGGTGTTAGAGTGTGCAATTTGATCTTCAACTCATAAAGAGTAATTCACCAAACGTTGATGGACGGGAGAGAGATTATCAACATCCACGATGAATGTTGAGACCAGCACGGCAGGCCAGCATGAGACTGAAAGCAAGCAGCATTGATGTGTGGGTTGGCCGAATGTGGACCCCATGCCACGAGAAATAAGAGAAGACGGCTTAGCGCTGCAAATGAGTCAAACTGTTCACGAGCGGTTTAACATTCAGTTCGAGAAAAACTCTTTCGACACTTGATTTGTCTACTAATGAGTTGAGTTTGAGTTAAGCCTTGCTCAGCTCGCAAGTCTCGTGAGTCAGCTTGACTCGGTGGCTTGTTGAGCTCAACTCATGAGTTAGCTCGTTTTGATCTATGAATTGGCTCGACAGTATGGTTAGCGAGCCACCTCAACTAGGAAATCATGAGTGGATTGATTAATAGCTTCTCATTCATTTGTTGATAATTCATAGGTTTGTTTGATTACATATCGTAGTTTGGCAGATCTTTAATCGTATTTTGCCTACCACAGAAGCCCTTCTTGAGAGGCGGGTTCCGGTGTCACCTAGATGCCCGGTGTGCTGGGCCAGTACGGAAACGATGGAGCATTTGTTCTTGGACTGTCCGGTGGCTAGGGCTATCTGGGATTACTCCGGCTTGGCCTATCTGGGGGAGGGGCTCCCTCGTCATACCTTCCCGTTATTCCTCAAGCGCTTACTGGCTTTGATTAGGCAGGCTGATCTTTTTATGGCTGTGGTGACTGTTCTGTGGCGGATTTGGCGGTCGCGGAACTGGGTTGTCTTTGAAGGCAAACAGTTTGGGTTCCCGGCCTTGATGCGCCAGTTTTATCAACAGTATGAGGAGTGGACTCGCCTGCCAGTGGATCGTGTCTCTCCAGTGGCTCCCCCTTTGGCGGATCAGCCAAGGACGCCCCAGGTGGGTCTTCCTGGGGAGGGCAGTGTTATTTGTATGTGGGATGGGGCAGTTCGGCGGGGGTCGCACTCGGCTGGGGGAATGGTTCTTTTTACTCCATCAAGGGATGTTTGGCTGGCGAGAGGAGTCCAGATTCCTGGATTGGAGGACCCTGGGGTGGTGGAGCTGCTTGTACTTCGCGAGGCTGTGTGGTGGTGTCTGGAGCTTGGACTCTCGGAAGTGCAATTTGAAGGTGATGCCAAGGTTATTATTGATAAAATCAATCAGGCTGATACAAGAGATAACCGAGTTGGGGCTGTGTTGGAAGAAATGGTGCAGTATTTTAACAGCTATTCTGGGTTTAGTGTTCAATTTGTAGGTCGGAGTTGTAATAGGGTAGCCCATTTGGTGGCTCGCAAAGCCCTCTCTTTGGACCCGACTACGAGTCGTTCTTTTGATTTTCGGGTCTGGCTGAGTTCCAGGATGTAACTGTCTATTATTTTGGAATCAATATATGATTATCTTTTGTCAAAAAAAAAAGTTTGATTACATATCGCACTACATATGATGTTTAATAATTTGAACATGTTATCTAATAAGTCTAATTTATAATTTAAAAGAGAAATTATGTATCATATATTACTCAATAACAAATTACTATTAAATAACATGATATAAAAAATTAAAATTATGAACTAACTAATATGTTAGCTAAGTTCGAGCCAATCTCGCGAGCTAATTGGAGAACCAAATTCGAGTAGAGCTCGTGAACTCGTTAATTAGCCAAACTCAAGTTGAGATTGATTCAAACACAAGCCAATGTTTTCGTAAACAGGCCGAGGTCGAACTCGACTCGTTTATTAGCGAACCAAACTCAAACTAGGTCAAAATTTAACTCGATTCGGCTTGACTCATTTGCTACATATAGAGGATATCATAGAGGAAAGGCTATTGTTTGTCATTATTCGCTTCCCTTCGTTCCTCTGTGGAAGGAGCAGGACAGACATGGTGGGCGACATGGGCGGAAGGCGACAAAAGCTTTGTTTGGCGCTGACTTCTGATTCATGCTATGGTGGGTTGGGTGGGTCATCAATCAATCTGGAGCAGGCTTATAGGACAAATTGTCCAGATGGGAATTATTGGCATTATCAATGAATTATGTAATGAAAATGGAAGGTTTAGCTGCTTAAGCAGAGCAGACGGGAAGACAGGAGAAGGCACGAGTTTGACAGGGATGTTTTCCCACTCTGTTTTTTTTTTTTTTCTGGGCAGGAGGCACGAATCAATTATGGAGATCCCACTTCAGAGTTTTGGAGAGAAGAAGACATGTGGCCGTCGGGGTCTGGACAATTGGCCGGAAAATTACACGAGATCTTTCCGTTTTTCGACTTCTGCTTTCTTTTCCCGCCGGTTTTGCTTCCCGTTTCTTCCATTTAGGTCCGGCTAGCTAGCGTGGAAGTATTATGCAACAAAAAGGGGGGGGGGGGGGGGGGGGGGGGGTAATCCATTTTAGTCAACTTCACGCGTAACTTTCTGAATTTTGACCAAGTTTAGATTTGGGTAGCTCAATTTTGGGATGCTTACTTTTTTTTGGCAAAATACACTTGCATAGGCAAAACTTTCACTTTTGTGCCACGTATAGCCACATTTGACGAAATACCTCTAATAGCCACTTCCGTCCGATTCTTTAACGCTGTTAACGTTAAGTGTGACTGGGCAAACGGAAGGGCTTACATGTCAAGCCTGCGTTTTACACGTGGATAATAATTAAAAAAAATTACAGAATCCCTAATTTTACCCACCCACTTTTCACTTCGTCGTTTTCTCCTCAGTCGAATTTTACTCCTTCGTTTTCTCCTCAGTCGAATTCACCCACCCTTATTCGAAGGCGGCAAAGTTGACGAAGGCGGTGAAGTCAACGAAGGCGACGATCTGCCTCCGACGACCAGCGTACCCAACCTCTCTTCCTTCCCCCACCATCAAAATACCAAAAAACCTCCAGTCCCGATTTTTCCTCCAGTCCCGATTTTCCTCCTTCGATAAAAACATCCATGCATCCAATGGGTTGACCAACCGGCGGCGAGCTTTGGCGGAGTCCTTCAAAGCTTGTTTTGTGTTGTTTGCTTTGAAGGAATCTCGGAATCAACCCTTGCAATTCGCGATTTGACTGGGTTCGTCGAAACCCTAATCGCACTTGAAAGGGGGATTTTTGCTCCCACTCTTGTGTCGAGACTGGTAAGGTTCTTTTCTTGCTTTGTTACTGTGGTTGTGGATTGCGGGGTGAAGGTTCTTATAGTTTACTGCTTCTCTTTGTTTTTTGGTTGGTATCGAGCTGTAAAGACAAGAAGTGACACAGTAGAGGAATCTCGGGACCACTCGATTGATCATTTTTGGCGAGTTTGCCCCCATAATTGAAGGTCAGTTAGTCGATGTACTAGGTTAGAATTGTCTATTCCTCTTTGATTCGCACGAACCCTAGAATTGAATACTGTTAGCATTTTCTTACCATTTGTTTGGTAGTGATTAAAATACTGTGAGCATTGTTTAATCACGTGGTTAATAGTGATTAAAAAACTGATTAAAGCTTGATGACAGATGGCTGATTCTTGGGACTCTGCTTTTGGGGAGAACGATCCAGAGGCTGTGGTAGTATCAGATTTCTCCTTGCCTGTAGAAGATGGAATTGAGGCTTCTGTTGCTAGAGACATATACCACGTATATGACTCAGACAATGCTGATACTTCTGACGACGAATACCACGAAGCAAGGTGACACGCTAAAACACAACACCTAACAATGGCCAAGTATAACCAATGAAAGGGACTGCAGTATAGGCAAGTTTAATTATCAACCCGGGGTCTAGATCTACTGCTTACTCCGTGATTCTCTATTATCTAGCAAACTAAGTCGAGTGATTGTTGTGAAACGCAAAAGCAGTAAGAAAGCAGGAAATGGTTCGGTTTTCAAAAGCAGTTAAGAGTCACTCGGGATTGAGTCCCCCTAGCCCCTTAGTTAGGTTCAATTGTAATTCCCTGGGTTGATTTACTGTTGATTAGACTGCGGAAGATCCGACAGTAGCTTGGAATCTCTTAAGCTGACCAAGCCCTCTCAGTCTAACTACCCGGCAGACGACTAGTCTTCACCGGGATAGAAAGCTGAGGCTATGAACACAGAACTCCACTACTGGCGCCAAGAACACCAGTACAAAGCAGTAAACTGGCTAACTCTCGTATAGCCAATCTCCTACTATCGAATGAAGAGGCTCTAACAACCTAATCAGATTCTATCTATCTCAGGTTGAAGCAGAAATTGAAACAAGCTGATCAGACTCAAATCAATTCATGAAACATGCGTCATTCGATTAAAATCAAACAATAATATCATTCCCCAGTCATTACAATCAAAACCCTAACATCAGGAACTAGGGTTCTTCATACCCAAGTGAGAGAAGGGTTCTACTCCATAGAGAGAGAAGAGAAAACAAGAATCGGATTAGTCATACTCATAACGATGAGGATAATCTGCTCCGGGACGATGATGTTCACTCCTATGGCGATCTCCAGGCTCGATTCGATGAAATCCAGCTCCAAGATAGCTTCTAGGATGAGTTCTTCGCACTTTCTCTCTCTAGGGCTCTGTTTTTGCTCTGAAAACACGATTCTCCCTCTTTTGGCTCGGATTAGGCATTAAAACCGGTCTCCCCGAGTTGCACGGGCAGGTGCACGGCCGTGCACCACCCCATTCTGGCCGTGCAACATCAAACGCACCGTATTATTTATTAAGCTCAGCCTTCTTGCACGGCCAGGCGCACGGCCGTGCAAGCCTGGATTGTGCCCGTGCAAGCTCTCGTCGTGAGGCGCACGGCCAAATGGCACTAGTGCACGGCCGTGCAGCCCCCTGGTCTGGCCGTGCACTCCTCCAAAAGCTCGCCCTTCGTCCGTTCTTCATCCAATCGACCCCAGACTCGCTCCTAAGCCTTCATTCACGTACTAGGACCTGAAATAACACAACCAAGCACAACCTAGCGTGAAATCGGCCTAAAAC